TGTCTTGGGGCAGTTGATTGTCTGTATTGATGATTTCCTCTCCTAAGTTTGTGGTTTTGTAGATGCTAATCCTTGTTTGTTAACTCGTTACATTAGCTAGCTACTGAGTATTGAGGTGGTCCCTGATTGAGTTATGATTGATTGGTAACACAGTAGCTTAGCAGCCAGGCCTGCCCTAGTCTCCCTGTCCCCACCTCCCATTCCCCCCCTGTACCCCACGACAGTCAGTTGCACAAGCCCCACGTCACAAGTTCTGCCTGTGAGCAGCTGGGGGTGCAAGGCCCCAGAACCCAGGAGCTCCTGCACCTATCTCCTTGAAACGTGGCAGGTTTTGTGGCCTCACCAGGGGCCACCATCCCTGCAGTTTTGACCTCACTGTGGCTTAACACACACACGTGACATGAGTTTTGCTTTCAAGAATTTGGGCTGCAGTTTCCCCCAAACCCCTGTTCCTATGTCCTTTTGAATTGGCAGGCTTTGTGGCCTCAGTAAGAGCTACCACCCTGCAGTTTTACCCCCACTTTGGCTTAATACACACACACGACACAAGTTTTACTTTCAGAAACTTGGGGTGCAGTTTCCCAGAACCCCTGCACCTATAGCCTTGAAATGTGGCACACACCATGCTCTCAGCAGAAGCTACCATCCCTGCAAGTTTAATCTGAATCAGCCAAAAGAGAACAAAGTCATAAATATTTAATTGATTCCCCATTATACCATATGGCCAAATCTCCGAATCTTTTCCGAATCAATTTGGAAGCTCTGAATCAATTTGGAAAGCCTAAAGCTTCCTGCAATTCGATTCGGATTCATAGATTCAGCCTCTGAATCATCCAGATCATCTCCAAATCCGAATCATGATCTGAAGCTTTGCACAGCCCTAGTCTTTATTATAGCACTTGATTGTGCAGCCCTTGTTGTTATGTAATTTAATTTTCTTGATTTTTCTTGGAGTGTTTCTTAGATTTTGAGTTTTTTCTGTCCTCAGAAATGCTTTCAGTCCCTGCTCTTTGCTGTCCCATCTGTAAATGTGAGAATGTACCCTCTGTTCTGTCATCAGAGTCCTTAATAAAATACTGAATAGGATAGGGAATAGGACCCAGAAAGACCACTGAAATATCCTCCCTGTTTGATCATGAACTTCCCCTTGTGCATGATTGTTCCACCAGCTACGCTCACACCTGGTGGTGAGTTCCCTGTTTTGCTTACGAGATTGAATGTGGGATGGTGTCAAGGCCTTGTAAACTCAAGATATATGATATCTACTGCTTCTGCCTTATCCGGTAGACCAAATAGCATCTGAAAGAAGGAAATTTGATTGTTCTTGTATAATTTGTTCTCAACAAGTCCTTGTCACCTGCTTCAGTCACCTTATTAGCCTTCCATAAATGGATTGCTTAATAATTGGTTCTGGTATATTTAATAGAAACGTAGAAAATGAGGGCTGGACGAGACCTCAGGAGGTCACATCCAGTCCAAACTCCTGCTCAAAGCAGGACCATCCCCAGCTAGATCATTCCAGCCAAAGCTTTGTCATTACATTTTTTTAAACAAAGCTAACAGTTGGAAGCCACTTTGTATTAGAGGATTTCAGAGAAATAAGGACCAATTATATATAAGCTACTCAGTATGTTGATACATTTTTTATACATTTTCCAAGTATCAAATTTGACTTACCCGGGTTGAAAAGACCAGACTCCCTAAGTAATTCTTGGTTCCTCATTTGTTCTAGTGACTAAGATTAAGAATTTTTTTTTTTAATGTTGAGAAAATGGAAATACGAGGGAAAGTATAAGAAATATGAGTAAAACAAGAGTAACTCTTGGTGAATAACTTCACTGAATACAGAAAAAATATAGGAAGAACAGCTTATTAAAGGAACTGAAAGCATTTGTACCCCATCCATTTTTCTAAGGGAAGGAGTTAAAGTCACATTCATGACATGCCTATATTTTAAAATGTCATGCTCAGTGTATTTGTGGAGCTCAGCAATGCTGGGCTTCCAAAAGGGGAGATAAAGTCAGAGCTACCACTAACAGAGAATGACTTCAGGGAA